GCTCAAAATAGAAATTCAGAACATTAATAACTACTGTCATATGCATAACGTTATAATGAAAGCACTATTGTAAAAAATGTTGTGAATTCTTAGGGTTTCGCTGATGTTTAATGTTAACTACCTTTTACTCAAAACATTATTTACTCAGGATTATCACGATGGTGCCGACGCTGATGACTGCCTCTGTGGCGTGCTCCGCAGTTGTTTTTATGTTTTTGTTAGTTTGCCCTGTCTTTAGTTATATCCCTGCAATCAGTTTCACCAGAGACGAATTGCTGGACATTCGGCAGTACACACCACCCGATATTTCACCGGTTTTCGACTATTCTGATGTTTTTCTGGACATTGTAGTTGGCGGAGCTGCTGTGCTGATCAAGCGCTTCAGGACGCGAAAACGGTGGAAGCAATCCGGCGCGCTCGTCAAGCTCAGACAGCGCGGATTCAGAACGGCGTTGCTGAGCATCCATCTGGCCAACCTCCGCTCTCTACCCAACAAAACGGATGAACTCCTTCTGCTCTCCCGGACAAATAAGGATTTTTCAAACTCTGCTGCTCTGTGTTTTGTTGGACATTGTAGTTGGCGGAGCTGCTGTGCTGATCAAGCGCTTCAGGAAGCGAAAACGGTGGAAGCAAGCCGGCGCGCTCGTCAAGCTCAGACAGCGCGGATTCAGAACGGCGTTGCTGAGCATCCATCTGGCCAACCTCCGCTCTCTACCCAACAAAACGGATGAACTCCTTCTGCTCTCCCGGACAAATAAGGATTTTTCAAACTCTGCTGCTCTGTGTTTCACGGAAGCCTGGCTGAAAGACGCCATTCCGGACAGCGCGTTGAGTCTCCCGGGCTTTCAGCTGTTCAGAGCGGATCGCGACGCAGAATCAAAGGGGAAATCACGCGGCGGCGGGACATACTTTTACATCAATGAGAGGTGGTGTACAGATGTAACTGTGTTAAAGAAGATGTGCTGTTCAGATCTAGAAGTGCTCTTCATTAACTGCAAGCCGTTCTATTCGCCGCGGGAGTTTTGCTCATTCATTCTCGTCAGTGTTTACATTCCTCCGCAAGCACACGTGAGCTCCGCTTTACAGAAACTCGCTGATCTGATCACAGAACCTATGATGAAAATTACAGGCCTCTCTCATCTTTTTAAGTGGGAGAACTTGCACAATTGGTGGCTGACTAAATACTTTTTTGCCCCACTGTATAAATACACACACTTACATGTATATATTTAAGAAAAATGTTACGTTTATATATTAAATATATTTATATATGAATATAAATAAATACATGTAAATATTTTCAACATATATGCTGTATGTGTGTGTCTTTATATATACATAATAAATATACACAGCACACACACATATTATGTAAACAAAAACTTTTATTTTGGATGCAATTAATCGATTTATAGCAGTGATATATATATATTTCAGTCAGATCTTTTCAATGGATTGGTTGATTCAATTCATAAAACTGGTCTAAATGTTTTGGATCAGATGGATCAAGTTTGTGAATGGGCCTAGTCATTAATTACTCACCCTCATGTCGATCCAAACCCATAAGACTTTTGTTCATCTTTAAAACACAAATGAAGATATTTTTGATGAAATCCGAGAGCTTTCTGACCCTCCATCGACAGCAATGCAACTGACATGTTCAAGGCCAGAAAGGTAGTAAGGTCATTGTTAAAGGGGTCATATGACGCTGCTAAAAAGAACATTATTTTGTGTATTTGGTGTAATTAAATGTGTTTATGCAGTTTAAGGTTCATAAAACACATTATTTTCCACATACTGTACATTATTGTTTCTCCTCTATGCCCCGCCTTTCTGAAACACGTAGATTTTTACAAAGCTCATCGGTCTGAAAAGCAAGGTGTGCTCTGATTGGCCAGCTATCCAGTGCGTTGTGATTGGCCGAATACCTCAAGCATGTGACGGAAAATTTTTTCACTTTGCGTGAACATTTGGGCGGCGTTATGCAAATCTTCCCACATCATGAAGTAGCCATGTGGGGGCGTGTTAGAACGAGCCATTTTAGGTAGGCGTGGTTGACTCTTAACTTTTATAAAGAATATCTCTTTGGATTTGAGACTTTAGTCTTTGCAATTTTACAGATCTTCTTTATGCACCAAGAGCTTGTAACACTTCAAAGAGAAAGGAAAAATTGAAATCGCATCATATGACCCCTTTAAAATAGTCCATGTGACATTAGGGATATGCTGGTATCAAGTTTTCATGTTGCGATTAATTGCTAATGCTTTTGTCACGGTATAATCACGATATTGAAATTTAGTTTAAAAAAAAGGGTTGTCATAATACAGTATAACAGGTTTAATAACTTTTTTCTTATAACAAAAATAACTGAACATTTAAATACAATAAAGCAATACAGAATTTGTTTTACACAGATTAAAGTGCAAAAGAATTATAAAGACCAATAGGTATCACTTTACAATAAGATCTCATTAGTTAACCTTAGTTAATGCATTAACATTCACAATGAGGAATAGCTACATTTGTTACAGAAGTTATTCATCTTTGTTTAAAAAAATACAACTCTTAGTTCATGTTAGCTCATTAAACAACCTTTGATTTTAACGTGTTATTAAATAATGGAATTACCTAAAATGAATGAATGTTTAGAATAATTTTTCATTGGCAGTTCATGTTAACTAATGAATTAACTAATGTTAACTAATGAAGCCCTAATGTAAAGTGTGACTGAACAATAAAGAATCAAAACACTTTCAAACAATATCTAGGGCATGTTTAGTCCAGATTAAAATGTAAAAAAGTTTGAGAATAAATAGCCTATTAAGTCTAAATATTTGGCGCTGTGATGAACATCACTGCAAATACACAAATCTGAATGGCTGTTTAAACCATTTAAACATGTTTCAGAAACAGAAAGTAGCACAGCTGCTTTGTTTCCAGGATTTCTGGGGTAACGGCTGCGTTTCTGCTGTTCAGCGCCATCTGCTCTCAGAGAGTGAATGTGCTTTCGTCCAGAGTGTCTCTCATGCGCTCTGCTTGTTTACATCAGAATACAGTGTCTTTGATGCAGCATAGAGCGGTGTTGTGCATTGTGACCAGTTGAAGTATTCATGGAAGTATTCTTAAAATGCATTCAAAATTCTGAATAATTTGTAATAAATAATTATTCTCTGTATTTTGAAGTGCCCATGATAACAATACCGTGCATTCATTATCGTGACATATCGCATTACCGAATACCGGCACATGCCTTTGTGACATTAGTGGTCCAACCTTAATGCTATGAAGCTACGTGAATACTTTTTGTATGCAAAGAAAACAAAAATAATGACTTCATTCAACAATTTCTTCTCTTCCGTGTTAGTCTTAGACGCACGTTCGTGAGAGTACCACAGGACGTGTGTGATGCTGCTGACGCAGGAGCCGGCGTTCTATTTATATACATTTCTTTTACGATGTCTTTATGAACGGTTTGAAGTGTCATACATAGATTTGGTGAAATGGACTTTCACTTGAAGGACAAAAATCTGTCAGGTTTCATTAAAAGTATCTTGATTTGTGCGTTAAAGATGCACAAAAGCTTGTTTGGAACACGTAAGGTTGAATAAGTGATGACAGAATTTTCATTTTTGTGTGAGCTGTCCTTTTAAAAGTTTGCTGAAGGTGAAGTTTAGCAGTGAATTATGATTGTTGTTTTAGTCTGTTTGTTACACAGGCTGTCCAGTGGCTTTAGAATAAATGACTTGGAAACTGATTTTATTGTACTTTTTGGTCTTTTTTTGTGCTTGTCAGCCCCAGTCATCATTCTCTTTTAATATGTGGAAGGAAGTGGCCAGGGCGTTCTTCAGAAATTCATGTTTTGTGTTACATAGGAGTCGTCAAATGCATTTAATTTAGGCCTAAATGATGACACTGTTTTCATTCTTGGGTGAACTACTCCTTTAAGATGACTCCGGGAGGATGTCTGCTTTCTCTGAACCTTTCAGGCCCCAGATAAAATGCAAATGTACTGTCTCTCGTTGCTGTGGGGCCTGATTGCTGTCTGGGTGACAAAAGGTGGACCAGGCAAGAATAGAGGCCCTGCGTTTTGTATTTGCATCAGAAAGCCCCATCCCAAGGACTCCTTTTCCTTACCCGTGTTGTTTAGCTTTTTGTTTCTTTGCCTAAAAGCTATTGTTATCTCCGTAGAAAGAAACCTCCCAACAGCTGTATAACAGCCACATTAAAAAGAGCCAGAAATGTTGCAGAGCTGTGACATTTTGAGAGGATCCTATTGGGAAATTCCTCACAATATATGCTGCTTGTTTGGCAGAGTTGCAAGCTTCAGGGTCCCAAATGTGCTTGTCGGTGTATTATACTGGTGTTTGTTGTGATACTTTTGAGTGGCATAGCGTGGGAGTCATTGTTATTCACCCTGATAATATTATCCTTAGAACAGCACTGAATATCTACAGCATGTGGGAAAACATAGCTATCATGCTGTTTTGTGTTTAATCTGCTGAAGTAATAGGTCTTTTTTTATGTCATTCAGCAGAATTCTTACATTCTTACACAGCTTGATATTAGTGATTAAATGTGGTTGTGATGTTCAGCCTGACTTGATTTTGTTGGCGATTTGCAACCGTTCAGCTTGGGTGACTGTTGGTTTCTGGCAGTGGTTCAGAATGCATGTTGTGACTTACGGAGACTGAGATGGGAACATGTCAAAGGGGAATATGGAGTCCTGCCTGTTGGCAATATGTTATAGAGGAGTAAAACATTAAAGATTCATCTTCTCTTCTAATTTTAGAGCATCATGTAATTTTCTGAATATTACTATTCTGAAATTCTATGCAACAAACCTCTGTTTAATGTTAAGACTTTTGTATTGAGGTGTGTACTGTATTTAGTCCTATTCTGTAAAATATTTAATGTGCTTTGAATAACCAGGCTCTTGAATATTTGGTTGTTAGTGCTTAAATATGACAACAATCGTTGTTTTATTTATTTATTTTTTTCAGTGGTCAGTTTGCCGTGGTAAAGAAATGCCGTCATAAAAGCACTGGAGTGGAGTATGCAGCCAAATTTATCAAGAAAAGGCGCAGCAAATCCAGTCGGCGAGGGGTCTCCAAAAATGACATTGAGAGAGAGGTCAGCATCTTGAAGGAAATCCAGCACCCCAATGTCATCACCCTGCACAATGTGTTTGAAAACAAGAACGAGGTCATTCTCATCCTGGAGCTGTAAGTCGTTGTTTTTCCTTGCATTTACTGAATCATGAAATCATTAACAGCCTCCATTTCTAAAAACTAAGAACTCAGACTGGTAATAGACACTGTAGTGCATGAACAACTGGCTCTTGTAGAGCTCTGGAACATGATAGTATAAATAAATGTATAGAATACATTTTCAAGGGCTTCTCACTGAGTTCAATAGCACCAACCTTTACTTGCAAAGCAAACACTTGACAAGGTCAACAGTGGGGGGTTGAGGAGAACCAGTCCATTGAGTAGGTGAACCAGTTTTGCCTGTTGTACTGTGCACATTCATACACTACTGCCAATGTGTTCAAAGAGAAAAGATATGTATTGATGTCTGTACTGTCTTAACTATACTGGTACACAAAGACAAAGACCTTTGACTGATTAAGCAAAGTTTATTTTAAGTAATATGTGCATTAAGTTTATATTACAGGTTATCTAAAAAATGCAGATGTAAAAGCCATTGAGGGTTGCATCCTGACTAGACTGGTGTCAGAGTTGTTAATAGAACTTACATTACATTTGTTAATTTTTTTTAATATAATTATAAGTGTGTGTGTGTCTGTGTCTGGATGTATTGGACAAACTAGGATGTAGTATTATCCTATTGTGCTTCAAGAATCACTTCCTAGAGTAACCAGTCTAACTTGAAAACCAACATCTAACATTAACGTCTAACATTGCAAGCAACTTAAAGTGTGACCCAAAGGACAAATTAAAAAATAATCAAGCCATCACTGAGTCACTCATCGTTACACTGTGTGTAATTCCTCATTATCTGAACAGAATAGGTTTTGAAATATGCAATTATTTTAAGGAGCTTTGTAATTTGATATTTTGCAATTTAGTAAATACAGTAAGTATTTAACGGAATCAGTGTCTGGAATGTTGAACCTTAACCTTTTCAGCAGAATTGTTTTGTTACACATAGATTATGTGAAGGAAGTGTCTTTCCTCAGAACCTCTTGAAGTGTCTCCTCATCCAACTGGTTTTCTTTGCTTCTTCATACCATGTGACAAAGGGTGTCCCTGCAGCTATGTTCTGAGCTCATATTAGGTTACACATTACTCATCAGTGAAGCTATTTTGTTTACTGAAGAATGTGGAGTTAAGTACCTTGCTTAAGGATATAACCACACAGTCCTGACCTCGGAACTGAAGGTCACGTTTCATTTTCAGGTCATTTGGCGTCCTCTCAAAACCTTTGTGCTGCCAAATAATATTGTGAAGTGAGATGTTACAGACTGTAGTGTGTTGTTGGTTTTTTTAGTCTCAGATGGCATACTCATGGACCGCCCACAGTCCGTTCACTGACCGTCTGAGGCATACAAAAATAGCACGTGCTGGCTGAAATCTGATTGGCTGGCACTACGCAACTTCCGAAAGTGAAAACGGCTTTTTATCAGTTTGCCTGGAAAGAAATTCACAATTTCAAGGTAGCAGGTTGATACAATGAGCACTTTTGAGGAAGAACTAAGATCCACTCTAAATGGCGATTTGTTGCTTTACATGTCGTTCAGATGGTCTTTTCTTGATTAAGTGGCTGGTTCTTTGCCAGTACAAGCTCTAATGAGGACTAGACGAGTCAGAAATCTGGCTACAAGCCTTCTGTTGTTCAGGGTGGGGGCTGGTGTTTTTCTTTCCGTTTCTGTGAAGGGAATAGAGACATATCTGCTGCCGGTGTTTTTGCAGCTGGGTGGCTCGTCGCTGCTCTTGCTCAACCTCACAATTAGCAGCAAGCGTTATCATGTCATCAGCGTGCAGCTGGTTTGCAGCTTCCTTCTGCTGAATAAATATATGGCCAGATCATCCTGTTGGTCCTCTCCCAGAAGCCATGATTATAGCACTGCCAATATCCCTTTCTGTCAGCGTGAATCACTCAGAAACATTAGAGAGATTGGTTCTTCTGTTTAATTAGCTAGACTCACTCTATGTGATATACTGTGTATTACTGTTTATTTATTTTTTGTTACACTATAGTGATCTCTTATTTCAAAATTAATTTTCCAGTAATTTTATTGGTCTTTTTCTTTCTATTTTATTCAGTGAAAGTTGATTTGTAGGGTTTATGATTCTCACCTAAATCACTTTTTTTTTAACCCATTTATCCATTGTCTTCTATCTGTTGTCCGCATCTGGCTGTTCCCCGTGTTAGTGTAGAACTGGTTTGAAAGGTTATATTGATATTTTAATTGCGAATGTTTAGATTTTTTTTTTTATTATTATTATTGTAATTTGCAATTTGTTTTTTTTACTAATTTGTCAGTTGTGTGCAACTAGTTATTGTGTTCTTTGCTGCTGTCTTGGCCAAATCACTCTTGTGTTTAAAGGAATAGTTCACCCAAAAACTTTTATCATCATTTACTCACCCTCATGTCATTCCAAACCTGTATGAGTTCTTTATTATGTTAAACACAAAAGAAGATATTTTGAAGAACCAAACAGTTGTTGGTCCCCACAGTAGAGAAACACTTCCATAGTAGAGAAAGAAATACTATGGAGTCAATGGGGACCATCAAATGTTTGATTACCAGCATTCTTCAAAATATCTTCTTTTGTGTTCAACATAAGAAAGCAACTCATACAGGTCTGGAACGACGCGGGGGTGAGTAAATGATGACAAAATTTTCATTTTTGATGAACTATCCCTTTAATCCTCAATTAGTTTTATCCTGGTTAAATGAAGATGATCAACTAACCAGCTCTATTGCAAGTGTCAGCATCTGTCCTCTCTCTATACAGTGTGGCAGGTGGGGAGCTCTTTGACTTTCTAGCTGAGAAAGAGTCATTGAGTGAAGAGGAGGCCACCGAGTTCCTCAAGCAGATCTTGGATGGAGTCAGTTACCTACACTCCAAACAGATTGCCCACTTTGACCTGAAGGTACTGAGACATGTTTGAGTTTCACCTCAATGGCAGACTGTGGCGATTAGCATCGCTGTGGACCAGCCACAACAAATCAGTTGAGGTGCTTTTATCTTCCCTGCTGGTTATCCACTTATTTCCACCATTTACATAATTGCTGGGCATCCCAGAGCTGGGATGGTCATAAATTCAGTCCCTGTCATTTTTAACAGGTTTTATTGCAGAATCACATTAATATTCTAGTAGTCTTTGTTTTGAAAGTTTCAGATGTAGATTGAGTTTTTACCTCCCACTAAAACCACTTAACCTGAATAACCAAACTTCTGAAAAATGAACTTCAAAGCAGCCGACATTCACATTAACCAACTTAACTGAGATCTAAAATAGTCAAGCTGTCACAGAGTTGCTCATTATTAGCATTTTATTTCGAAACCTTCATGTTACTCTAGCAATGGCGTTTAAGTAATTAGATCCACTGCTTTCAGAGCACTCATCCACACAGCTTTCCCTAACATTTCTGTTAAATATTTTGAAGTCATTGGAGCTTTTAAGAGATTAGTCCGTGCATGAATAAAGCCCACTGAAGGAAGTATTGTTTCTATGGAATGTCCAGGCAGGGATCTGTTACTGACTGGCTTGAGTATGCCTGTGCTTTCTAGTGAACGTTTCTGTAGCTTTGCATGTGATTTCCATGTGTTATGGATTTCCTGCTCTCTCTCTCTCTCACTCCTGCTGTGTTTTTGTTCTGCACCTATCATTAGTTCCTGATTCTCTCTTTTGCATTCTCCCTCCAATTCTTTCTCTGTTCTCATCTCTCTCAGCCGGAGAACATCATGCTGTTGAACCGGAGTGTTCCTCACCCGCGCATTAAGCTCATTGACTTTGGCTTGGCCCACAAGATCGATTTTGGCAACGATTTCAAAAACATCTTTGGTACCCCAGAGTTTGTAGGTCAGTGTCATCCGCTGGTCAGTCTATAGAGATGTGTTGTAATTACACCCGCTCTTATTGTTATGGTCCTCTGTCCAATCCTCTCTTTTCTTCTTTCATGTGTAATCTGAACCACAAGCCTGACATAACTGTAAAGAAACACCATGGATCACTGCTTTGTGACCCAATGAATCCTGCATGAATTGGAAACATCTAAACCTGAATTTTATATACTAATAATACATTTTAACTTTAAATAAAATTATAATATAGTAATTATTTACAATTACGTAATTGTGGATAAGTGAATTGTATAGTATAAATACAATTATATAATAATTATATACATTATTTGTTTTTGTTGTTATTATTAAATATTTGTATATTATTTTTATATCTTTGTTACTATTTTACATATTATCATCCATTTTACATATTTAGAAAAATTAGTCCCATAAACAATGAAAAAAATACAATTGGAATCAAATAGGAACTAAAAATGTTAAACTAAACAAATGTTTTAGCTTCTTTAAAGTAGGAAGAGGCATCCTGGGTTTTTTCAAAAATTTTTAAAGAAATGCACATGTACACTTGGCAGTTTTGTAAAGAAATTCATGGCATAGACATGCATTTTCTTGTGTTCAAGCATAGGCTTTTAAATCAACAGGTTTTTAAAAGAAACATTATTTCAGTCAAGTGTGCCCAGTCTTTAAATGGTATTGTATGTTGATGTGTTTGGGTTGGTGTTTTAAGCAGAACTACAAAACAACCTTCCTTAAATCTTACTGCTTTTTCTTAACAATATGAGACAGCTCTGCTGTTTTCAGTCACATTTTACATGAACAAGCCCCCAGCCATCCCAGAAAGCACACAGACATGCACATCCACACCACCCCCATCACTCTATGCCATTGGCATCACATCCAGTCCTACCTGAATGGCAGCCAGTGTGGCTGCAGGCAGTGATGATACAGCAGTCTTAATAGAGACACAATGCTAAAGGCCACGGTCAAGCATCAGCTACCCCACAGTGTAGTCTATTTCAGTGCTCAAAGTTATGATCAGGCTTCATGGAGGAGAAAAGATACTTTTAAAGATACTAATCCAATCCAATACTAAAATACTATTAGCCCATTACTGAGGCATGACTTCATTGATTTTTTGTTTAACCTTGGGGTTAAGGAGCAGCTTGCTTCCTCCTAACCCTGGTCAATGACCAGATTTAGTGCATAATAATATAAGTAGTAAATCAAGGTCAATTCTCAGGCATAGAGAGCAGCAGCATCTCTCCCACCTCAGACTTATTCCCTCATTTTCTCATTAACACATCAGAGATTGAGATCTTCTGAAAGCAGTGACTCATTTCACAGCTCATACGGTGAGAAACCACCAAATATACTACCATTGACTTAGCATTTCTAGACATTTTGCAGGCATTGTCTAATGTTAGGGAGAGTGGGGTAGGTTTTTGCTCCCTTCCTCTTGCAAACTGTTAGGGATGCACGATATATCGGCCACCATATCGGTATCGGCCGATAAATGCAAATTTTTTCTGTTATCGGTATCGGCCTGAGTGCATTATTTTTAGATAGAGTTTATCATTTAGCTGCCATATATAACTTTGAGAGATGCATGCAAGTTATAAGCATTGTTTTAATGCTTAAATAGTATTTGATTCTCTTTTCTCAATGCCAAGACGACAAATTAAGTAAAATATGCCACAGCTTACCCCAAACTCTTCTGTATTGTAAGTAGGGATGTTAATTTTAACCGGTTAACCGACCGTAAGAATTTTGACTGATTAATACAATCAGTTAAACGGTTTAAAAAGTCATTTAATTATTAATTTTTTCGGTAATTTATCAAAATATATATAAAAAAAATTGCTGCATGGTTCAAATACACTACGCGTTTTAAAAAAAAAGTGTTTTTAGGGGGAAAAAAACACAAGTCGCGTATAAGTCGCATTTTATTATTTCATTCAGAAATAGGCCTAATGCCGACACAAAATGTTTACAAACATTATAATAAACACTGTAAACATAGCTAGGCTATTTTAGTTCCCCTCACTCCACAACAAATCCTTTCAATTAACAGTATTTACAAAACAACAAGAATTAAAAATATAAGAAGCTATAGCTATATAAACGACAAGCCAAAACGAATTAATTTAGGCTAAAACGAAACTGAAACCAACGTTGGGTCGTTGACCCAAAAATCAAATGTTTTCGTATCCGTGATGTATTTGAATGGCAAATTATTATTTATTATGTAGCCTACTTCACTCGCATTCCAATATCCACGTACAACAAAATGTTTTGCGTAACATCATGGCGGTACTGTGATAACACTTAACGGCACAGATTTTACAAAATTTTTTTTTTTTACTATATAGTTTTTTTCCCCATATGTTTGACTGACTGTATTTTATTATGATAATGAACAGACTGCATTGCCAAGGTGTGCACGCATGCGGCGCCGGCGCAATCACTTGAATTTTTTCCTTCTGACAGTGGAAGCAACTAGGCCAGGGGTAGGCAAGTTCGGTCCTAGAGAGCCGCAGTACTGCAGAGTTCAGCTCCAACCCTAATCAAACACACCTGAACAAGCTAATCAATGTCTTCAGCATTACTAAGACTATAGGCAGGTGAGTTTTGTTTTCAGGGTTGGAGATGAACTCTGCAGGACTGCGGCTCTCTAGGACCGAACTTGCCTACCCCGGAACTAGGCCTACTCCTTTTAGTAAAAGATAATCGGAATTGTAAAAGGTTTGCCTTTATTTGTGTGCATTCACAATAAAAACAAATCTTTGTGCTTTTTTAAAATAAGCCTAAAGAAAAATAGGATGCCGCTTTCTTCCGTCTGTTTCCTTTCACGCAGCACAAAAAAATGAATCGAAGCTCTGCATACTAAGCTACTTGTTGCACAGTTTTTCTTTAATTTTTTTTATGTATTATTTAAGTAAAAATATGTTTCTAATGTAGGCCTATTTATTCGTTTTATATACAGTGGGTACGGAAAGTATTCAGACCCCCTTAAATCTAGAATACTTAGGACCATGTGATATTTCAGTTTTTCTTTTTAATAAATCTGCAAAAATGTCAACAATTCTGTGTTTTTCTGTCAATATGGGGTGCTGTGTGTACATTAATGAGGAAAAAAAATTAACTTAAATGATTTTAGCAAATGGCTGCAATATAACAAAGAGTGAAAAATTTAAGGGGGTCTGAATACTTTCCGTACCCACTGTATATATATATATATATATATATCCTTGCTTTATTATGATTTTCTCCGCTCGCAGAAGCGCTGCAGGTGCGTGACGTGATATGATGACCTCATGTCCTCATGTTCTGTTGTTTGCTGCTATTTGTGCATGTTAAATTAATCCCCGTGAAACAAACGTTAATATTTTTAACGGGTCACAGACACTTATCCTTTCTAATTTAATTCAATTCTAATTTAAAATAATCTTGTTGGTTAATGGTTAACAATCGGTTAAAGAGTAAGACTGTATTGTAAGTGATTTTATTTTGTGGTTTGCAGCTCCTGAAGTGGTAAACTACGAGCCGCTTGGCCTGGAGGCAGACATGTGGTGAGAATGAGCATTATTTCATTATCTGACCTCGCTGTTACCTCACTTCCTTTGCTAATCACGTTTTTTTTTCCATCTAACTCTAGGAGCATTGGGGTGATCACTTATATTCTGTGAGTATTCATAATCATCAGTGTTGTTGTGATGTTGTAAATAGTTTATATCATTACAAATGAAATCTAAATGCATTTATGGATTTTCACTTAGGCTGTAAATAGCATCCATTTTCGTAATTGCATTATTTTTCTAAAAGCATAGCTGTAATCACATTCTGCAGTAAAACGAAGGCATGGCGAACAAATATAGCTGAATATGACGCCATTGAAGTTGAACTAAGTGTTTTCCAGACATCTAGTATCATAGAATAAACTCTCGTTGTGCAACAGCTGTCATAATGATTGATGTTTGAAGTAAAAGGATGCTTAGTAAGCCGAGTGCTGCATCAGACATGGATGTTTCCATGATCTGCATAGAGAATGCATTGAGTTCTGGTCAATTGCAATTCCCTACTTTAGAAGCATTCCTACAGTATAATAATCTAATTGGATTAGCAGTGTAGAACGGGCAAAGATTCTAAAAGGAGCAGAGAAATGATGAGCATTTGGGGAGAGAAATCAGTGTTTCTGAGGGAAAAAAAATAGAAAGATTCAAGCACTTGAAAAGACTAAAAGAGCTCTTTCCACAGAAGTTCTTGTGATGCCAGTATCACATTAAAAATACCAAGCACTGTAGTGTTTTACTGCCATATAAAAATAGAGCAAGACATGGAATTTATAACCCAGTCCATCAAAGTGATGGATAATGATTATTAGCGCAACCGCTGGGTGCAGCATCTAATTGTAAAGCTTGTGTTGGTCTTCCTGTGGAAACATTAAAGTTTCTCTCTGTCTCTGTCTATATGTGAGTGTTTTGTTAATGTGAGAGGGAACTAAGCATATCACAGAGCAATATAAACAATGGAACTTGCCTGTTGCTTGTGATAAGACCTGTGGGGACCCTCCTTTTTGATGGGAACCAAATCCTCATGACTCTGATGTAAACAGTAAAAGGGTGCATCTCACGAAAACTGGAAATATCCAGCTCATAATTCACCCTATGCTCAAAAGAGGGGCAAAAAAAGAAATTTCATCACATAAAGACCTAGGGGTGCTCCGATCAGGATTTTTGAGGCCATTCACCGATCGCCGATCACAGAAATCTGTATCTGCCGATTAGTGATCGACCGATAATTGTTTTTTTTTTTACAGCCAATACCGACATCTTGGGAAGCAGGGTGGCCGATATATAAAAAGCCAATATAATTTTATTTATTTTAATTAATATTTAAGAAATTTGAAATAATTTGAAAATGGATAAAAAAAATAAATGTGTAAAATAAACATATTATACTTTAGATGGCAAAATAAATCATGTATAATAAAAAATATAATTAAAAAGGAAGTAAACACTGTAACCAACAGGGCACTCGGTAATCAAGGACGTTTGTGTGCATTGGGAATCATATTTTTTTCAAATAAAGACAATGTAACTCATTTTACGTACAGCACACAGTGAAAATTACATGAATAGGACAGTGGGCAAATGGATAAAGCGCAACATAGTTTGAAATCAGGAGTTTAAAGTGTGTCAATCGCGCATCTGCAGTGCAGTTGAACTCTCCTCCTGTCACACGGAGTACACGTGATCATGCAGGATACAAATGCACACTTCCCAAGATCTCACATTGGATGCAAGGTTTGTGAAATGTAATGTTCATTAGACATTAAAGATTTGTTTAACAATATAAATGCTAATATATATAATATATATATATATATTTAAATATATATAATAATATATATAAATAGATATATTTGCTGAATGCTGACGGTAAATGAGAAATTATTATAATGTTTGCCTTCTGTTTCTATTACTAATAATATAAAAGCAATCGTTATAATACTTTTTTGTATTCATTTGAATTCTTTGTTTAACAGTTCTATCTGATTATTAGACAGACTTCTATCCGTATTAGACAGAACTGTTAAACGACGACAGCGAACAAGAGGGAGAATGTGAGCACTGTGTGCTTAGGTGCTGCCGTTTTCAGCGATGTCAAAATAAAAGTCCCACGTTGAACACATTGGCCAAACCGAAAAACTTATCGGCCGATGCCGATATTTGAAAAATTGCAAATATCGGCCAATATATATCGGCCTTGGTGAAATTTTTGAAAATGAATTCCCCTTTTAGGTGACTCTTGTGAATGGGGATTTTTTTAATTTGAGGGGTGGATTTATTTATCTTTTTTTTCAAAAATATATATTTATCTGACCTAAATGTTTAATCATGCAGTGCATTCTTGTTTTTACAATTGTTCAATTGTTGCACAATAGCTTACACACAGTACAAGCCTGATTTCATGAGCTATATGTGAGGCGGCCTATGCCAGGTTCAACATACTCCGTTTGCAGTGCTTATGTAGTCCATATGCGATATTTCATTGTGCAGGAGTACGCTACTGATCTGTGATCTGTTGTTTACCACAAACACAACTTTTATCTATTATTTTGATTTCAAATCCAAATATTGTTACTAAAAATGCTTTTTCAGCATTGTGATTCTTTTTTTTTTTTTACATAGTACAGTAATACAATCTTTCATAGACATTTTTAAATGCAATAAATATAAGCAACACATTATTCAATGCTTTTTACTTTTGCATTTACTTCTAGATTTATATATTAAGTTGCTCAAGCAAGTGGCAAAACATTTAAACTATTTTTCTTATGTTATCACAAACATTCTAAATTAAAACTTGCCATTGACAGAAACAGTCAGCTCTACTGCCTTTTCTTTAGCATTTAAATCTTTATTACAAGCAATCTTGCGGTTAATACAGAACTTTGTTTTCCTACAGTACCTCCACGAGTGCCATCTATTATTGCTTTGTTTATCTAAAAGTGCTCTTTTCCTTTAAACCTAGCCAAAAAGCCATGTATGTTGACTGTGAAACACAGTAGACTTTAATTATGCATTCATGGTGTTATTACTACATTTTCTGTGGCAATCCATGTTCATATTTACCACAAACAATGCGCTGTCACTTTAATTCAGTGTGTGCATGTGAACCTGGCGTTATGTGTGTGCGCTGCGAGTGTGCACGAGCGCACAGTCTCCAGGAGAGCATGCGAGCACTGAATGGATAAACACTGGCAAGAATTTAAAAAAAAATGCAATTTATAAACTTTAGTGACGATGCGACACTGCCTCGATTGTCCAAGTGACAATTCCGGTGTCGACTGTGCAGCTCTCTTATAGACGCTTGCAGACGCGATTTGATTTGAAGCCATTTTGGCATTTTTAAAAGAAGGAAAGAGTGCGTACGGAGATTCACTCACGCTATTTGTGAAATTATGTCTTATAGATAGTCTTCAAATTACTTAAAGTTATTTAATGAAGAAATATGAATTGTACCTCACCTTCAGCATTATAATTATTTCACCCACGCCGGACAGAGACAGACGGTGCCGCTGTATGTCGTGCCAAACCTCTCATGGCAGACGCGTCATCAGCTTGAGATCGGTTTATGAGATCGGCCTTTATAGAGACCGGTGCCGATCAAACATCCCAAAGTGATTATCGGCCGATAGTGATCGGTAGCCGATCAATCGGAGCACCCCTATAAAGAACATTAAGCCTACTTTTAGGATTGTTAAAGCCACGTTTGATCCAAAAATTGATATTCTTGTCTTCTCTATCCTATCTGTGTCCATCACTATCTGTCCATCTACCTGTGCTAATATTAGCAGTCCAAAGAGAGCTGGAAAGTTCAATGTCTATCTCAGGGCTGTTCCTTACACTCCCCTTTCATCATAGGCAAATACAAATAGAGCTTCACAACGGGTAGATATCGCACACCATTGTCGCATCTAATCCTGACGCTCTTCTTGCACTCCTATTCCACCATTCTTTTCTTTTTCTCACATTTTTTTGAGACTGCTTCTCACCCATAGGGAACGCCATTAATTAGCAGTGTGAATTTAGAACAGCTGTAACTTTACAATTAATAAAATTTCTCCTGACAGTGTTTCTAAAAGCCATGCAAAGATTTATCACTGCAGATTTTTAATTGGCAACAGCAATAAGTTTTGATTATAATAGTGGAAAGAGAGCTTGTTGGACCCAATGGTACTCTGGTCTATAACAGGTTTTTATCACAAAAGAAAAAATGGAATTGAGCTTGTAAAATAAAGTGCTTATGTTGAACGCTAAATGGCCTTTGCCTATTTTCTCACACTTTAATAGTAATTGTCAGTTGTAAACTTAAATAGTAAACTTTGTTGAATGCTGCTGTACTGTAGACCTTCACGTCCAATAAATGGGTGATAAAATGGTCTTTTTTTCTCTGTATCTTCAGACTTAGTGGTGCCTCACCTTTCCTGGGTGAAAATAAGCAGGAGACACTTGCAAATGTGTCAGCTGTGGACTACGAGTTTGATGAGGAATACTTCAGCAACACCAGTGCTTTGGCCAAAGACTTCATTGCACGGTTACTGCTCAAAGATCCAAAGTAAGAACCACTGAAGAAGCTTGTTATGGTTTGAGGTGGTTTGGTAGGGTTCACCTTTGCCACTAGTTGTTTCTTTTATTGAGCAGTTCCTTTTTAGAAACCAACTGGCTTGAATAGTATTTTATTTTTACTTTTCACTATTTATATTGTTTTTTTTATTTATTTAGAAATATTATTAAATATCATTAAACTAGTTGTTAACTGATTTTCTGTGGTTATATTGAATCTGTGAATCCTGCGAAGAATGTTCGTCACAAATCATGTCACAAATTAACTAAGTAACTGAGGAAGTGGGTTGCGTCAACAAACAAGAACAGGTGCGTTGCACATGAATATGGAGACGTTAATAATTCCTGTTTTGGTTCCATATTGGTCTACCAAATTGCTTCTCTGCGGGTTGACTGCTCTCATTTAGTCTTTATCTACACAGAGCTCATTTACTTCTGATGATATTTAAAAGAGAACTAAAACTAGTTCTGCAGAAGTCCTGTCGGTACTTCACTAAAATGTGTCATTCACAGCATAAATGCTGTTTAAGTCTAAACATTGTCACGAAAGCTGATATGCAACATTCCAGAGCCCAATCCCACAATTCCTTCTGTGTGTTCCGCAATGCACACTGTGATAAATATCTTTCGATTTGTATGCTGAATGCCTTCTTGTTTACTCCGAAGGTTGTCTTTTAGGTGCTCATTTGTAGGAGCTTGTTGTTTTAAGTTATATAATGAGAGGTGCACAAACGGCCTGCCTATGTTCATTACATTCTGTATGTTAAAAAAAGTAAATATCACATGTGAAAATTATGTTTTCATGTTTACAGAAAAAGAATGACAATCCTGGACAGTCTTCAACACCCCTGGATCAAGGTTTGTCCAACAACCACTACACATGAAACAGTTATCAAGCACATTATCATCTTAACACTTGGTTAAAAGTGCGAATGTCTTCTTTTAAGCCAAAGGACACACAGCAAGCACTGAGTCGGAAGGAATCAGCAGTGAATATGGAGAAATTTAAGAAGTTTGCTGCCAGAAGAAAGTGGAAGGTGCTTTTTTTTTATTTGACTTTTAACTGTTTTCTGTTTAAATGTTCAACATTCAGATAGCAAACATCATGTTCTACTGTGAAAAAAGTAACTATTTGACATAAAGTGTGAGCAGTTTTGTGCCCTCAGTAGTGTTTTCTGAGGAATCAGCATTATGTGCCACGTCAACAAGTCACACTATTTCCACACAGCACACACACGCTGTTAAAAGCACGCTAAACAAACCCTTGGAGCTATGAAACAATAAAGAAGCACGCATAAAGTTACAGTGCCCTCAAGCGCAGAATTAAGCTTGTGTCATAAAAACAAATAATAGTCGGTTAACATGTCATTTGAAGAGTTGAAATATCATTTAATCTATTGAGAGGAGTTGTAATCGCTCTTTGATGCTTTAGATAAAAAGCCTGTTACAAATTCTATAGAATGTGTCACGAATATCATCTCTCCTTTAATATTGTTTGTTTGTTTGTTTTGTCTGACTTCCTTAGCAATCGGTGCGTCTCATCTCTCTGTGTAACCGGCTCTCCCGCTCCTTCCTGTCTAGGAGCAATATGAGTGTGGCTCGCAGTGATGACACACTGGTAAGGGTTCACAGTTAAATCATCATTCAAGAAACTTCTTAAGATTACATTCATGTGTTACACCTGATGTGTAGATGAGGTAGACTTCCCAAACACATTTTTATTACAAAACAAGGCAGCAGGAACTGGCAAAAAGAACTAGAGCCCTGCACTGGCCTCAAATTTAGGCCCTAGCCCGGCCCTGGCCCGAGATGCTCAGGCCCTAGTCCGGCCCGTGTCCGACATCTTATCAGAATTACCGGCCCGAGCCCGTCTTTTTTTCCCCTTCTCCCAAAACAGCTTATACTACTGTTTCAGCTATTAAAATAGTTCAGTTTTGTATGTAATAGCAATTACATTTTTTTAAAGTTAATTAAAAAAAAAGGTTTGGAGCATTTTTTGTTTGCTAAATATAAGTTTTTGTTTTTTTAAAGTAACGACCAAGCGGCCAGCGGCAGACAGTGATGTTTGATAAGTTTAGCCTTCTCAAATCATCAGGACTTCCCTAAAATAAAATCTATAGATATAAAACAGTTCAAGCAGATAACAATGTTTAAAAGTTAAACCTAGATAAATGTGCGCTATATCCAATAGTTTGTGCGGAGACGCTTTGCAGGACATGGAGGCGCCAGCGCGATCACTTGCATTTTATTCAGTGGATACGCCATCATTTTTGCTCATAAAAGTAAGAGTAATACATCATTCGTAACTGTAAAGGGTCTACTTTTATTTGTGTGCACTCACAATATCAACAAAATGTTGTGCTTTTATGAAATAAAGAAAACAAACGTGATGCGCTTTCTGCCATCTCGTCTTCAACAAGAGCGCTTCACAAAAATTATCCGAAACTCAGAGAATGCATGCCTCACAGACATTATATATATATCTATATAAAGCTTTAAATTACTACTTAACGAAATAAAACAAATCAAAAACAAAAACGTTTTCATTATAATCATAATCCGTAAAGATGCACTTCTCTCTAAAGGCGCGTCTGAGGAGATGGCGAGTCAGGATCGGCAACTTCATCCTTGCGACACCGACTCAGAAAACACTAGTTTATTAGTAAATAACTCAAATATCTCCTTACTTTTTCCCCCTGACACATTTATGATAATTACTTTTGCCGGTGCTTTGCAGCAAACCTAAGCCTATTGCATGCATTTGAACGCAGAACTCTTCAACTGCGCTGACGGCACGCACCATACTGCTTCTGGCTGGACAATAAACAGTCTTGTGTTGTTTCCACCAGCGCGGCAATTTTTTTCATCACTTATTGATGGATGTCTAAAATATAAAAATAAGGAGAAGTCTAAAACAGGCCCAAGGCCCGGCTCGTAGCTGAACTATGATGTGAAAATTGGCCCGAAGCCCAGCCCGAGGGGCGTAAAAAAGTCGGAGCCCGTCGGGCTGAAATGCAGGGCTCTAAAAAGAACAACAAAACCTAAAAGATGTGTGATGAGCCTGGCAACAGCTGAGGAACCCCCTTATCCCTGAGCTCTGCCGTGGTCTGTATTTATGGGATGAACAGATCTAATGAGCTTCCCACACACCTGAGAGTAGAGACAGACACACACATGGAAGGCAGCTCCACACAATATTTACTAGGACAATAATAAAATACTCTGGTTTTGGAATGATTACTGTTTAACACATTAATATGCATGATTGCTAATTGCAGTGAAAGTTTATATTGAAGCTTGCCATGAAGTCAGATGACTCATCCAACTTAATATGAGCACATTCATTGACACTCGTACAGCCATGTGGGGTTTTGCATGGTCTTTATACTGGCCAGATATTTGCTTAGTGATGTGTGATAAACCTGAAGAGTGAAGTGTTATTGCCGTTGTGCTACATAAATGGTTATCTAAACTTTACAGCTTACTATCTCTCTTTTTACCTTCTTCTTACACATCACACATTACCATAAAATAAATGTTTTTGCCTCACCTGAAGTGATCGTTTAACTTAAAATGTATTTTTAATATTACCTGCGTTATGATAATACTGTAACCTTAAGAAATATTTCAGCCTTTACAGTGCACTTAAATGTGTGAGAAATTTGGGGTTTCTTTGTGGACAAGAAATGGGTGTGTTTCATACAGGAAAAGGGTGTCAGCAACAATAATCAAGATGTGACATCCTTTATCATTCTAAAAATCCATCTATACATTACCATTCAAAAGTTTTTTTGTTTGTTTGTTTTTTGGGAAAAAATCATACTTTTATTCAGTAACAATGCATTAAATTGACCAAAAGTGACTGCAAAGACTTTTATAATGTTACGCAAATTTCTGTTTCAAATAAATGCTGTTCTGTTCTTTTAGAACGTTCTATTCATTAAAGAATAATTTTCAACATTGATAATAAAAATACATTTTTCTTGAGCAGCAAATCATACTGACCCCAAACTTTTGAATGGTAGTGAATGATTTTAACAAGTGCACTTTTTTTCTTTAAAATTTAGAAAATACATTGCAATTCTTTTTAAATTCCATTTTAAATTAATATGGCTGTCAGTGCCATATTATATACTGTAAAGTGCATGGTATTATCATCTGATACCATCGCAGCGTCATGGTCTTTCCACAATATTTGTTTTTTCAGGGACAGAACAAGTTTACACCCAAATCACCTAAAGGTCACATAAAATGACACAAAGTCGCGTAGAAGTCTTGTTTTACGCTCCACGAGTGTCTCCAGCATCGCTTTCTTTAGAAGCCTCTGGCTGTTTGTAGAGTGTGTTCAAGTGTGTGTTCTGTGTAATTGGATACACTCGTCTAGTATGAGACGTGCATGTGGGTGTTATTCCAGTACACTCCTTCATTAAACACAAGCACACATACTCTCTTTTTATCTTTTCTTCCTTCACGGCCGGTCCAGTTTCCCTATAGCTGTGTATTTGAGTGTTTTGTCCCACACGTCTGAACTGTCAGATGCTGTTCAGAGGTGGTTGGGTCACGTAGCACACAAAGCAGCGGTCGAGCAGTGAAGAGAAAGCGCGGTCTCTGCTCCGCCCCTCATCTGCATTATTCAATAGCATTAGGACTTCACGCTGTGTATTTGCTGATAAGACCAACTGTAGTACTACTGAGCATAAAAGGATTTGCTCAAAGCATGACTGTCAAAGGATGCTTGCTGTTGTTTTTTCCTTCTAAAGCTTATTGAGTAGTAGCCTAAATACTGTCATGTTGACAGTTTTTCATCTGATTTTTTTATCAAAGTTGTGCTTGTTAGTTATTTTTATTCGTAAAAAGATCAAGTCAGAGCTGTTCAAGAGACATGTTGGAACTGTGTAGCTCACATTGTTAATGTAGGTTTAATTCTTACTTGTGACTTGGCCTGATCTATGGAAGTATATTAATGTCAAAAATCTTTACTAAATCTGTCCACTAAAAATTCCAAATCTATACAAAAATGAATCATTCAAATAATGTATTCATTAATTTAACCTGAAACCTAAAACTTGAAAACTGTTCAAAAGTTTGGGGTCGGTAAGGAGATTTTGAAAAGTTTCTCGGGCTCATCAAGACTGCATTTATTTGATTAAAAATACAGTAAAAACAGTAATATTGTTAAATGTTATTACAGTTTTGAAAAAAAAATTATATTTAATATATTTCAAAATGTCATTTATTGATGGTAAATCTGAATTTTCTGCAGCCTCATATAATAATTTTCATAATCTTATTCATAATATTTCAGTTTTTCTTTTTTAATAAATCTGCAAAAATGTCAACAATTCTGTGTTTTTCTGTCAATATGGGGTGCTGTGTGTACATTAATGAGGAAAAAAAATTAACTTAAATGATTTTAGCAAATGGCTGCAATATAACAAAGAGTGAAAAATTTAAGGGGGTCTGAATACTTTCCGTACCCACTGTATGTGTTTTGGTCTGTTAATCATAAAGGTATTTTTGAATTCATTGATTTTGTTTTTTGACAGGATGAGGAGGACTCATTTGTCATGAAGGCTATAATCCACGCAATCAACGACGACAATGTTCCAGGTCTAAAACACCTACTTGGATCTCTGACCAGCTATGATATTAATCAACCTAACAAGGTAAGGAGACAAAGCAAGACTCATAGAGGTGATATGGGTATGGCAAAAAACAGAGAGAGTGACAGTCATGCTTATGGTCTCTGCTTGACTTGGTCTCTGTCCAAGTGATCAATAGCCAATAGGCATGGGTCGATTTCCGGTTTCAAGGTATACCACGATTTGAAAATTTTCAAATTAGGTAGTTTACAACAAGTAGTTTCAAAACCACTAATATTTTCCGTTATACCGTCCCTGCGGTATGCACTGTTTTTCATGTCTCCTCGAAGACTGAAAGTGTAGGAATCCCTCAGGTTGAGTGCAGTGTAGAGAGTAACACGACCCTCCTCCTCCTCCTCGTTGGTGCGAGCGAGTGGTCAGCCATGTGTGTGTAGGATGGGCGAACTTAAGGAGCTTCCCCTGGAACTCACGCGATCGGCAACCAACTGTTTTTTGTCTTGTTGCAACTCGTCTCTTTTCTGGACTTGTACAAACTGCGTTGCAATGCAATCATTTTCCAAAATGTAATTTATGTGAAAATATGAAGTCTGTAAATGCCCGTTAACACAGGCCAGAGACGCTGAAGACGGACGCAAAGAGAAAAATGTTTAATTTGTGTTTTGAAAGTATGGTAAAAACTGGTAAAATGTGCCAACAATCACATTTAAAAAATATACACTTTTTGATATACGGTACCATTAAAAAATAAAAGAAAAACAGGTAGCCCATCTGAATTAGGACATTTAGGCTATCCATCTAATAGTAGCCTACCAACATCTTATTAACAGTAGAAGTTATATCTTACTGTAGTCTTCAAATCTGGGCACTGTCTTACGTTTTAAAATCACAAAGGGAGTTTGGTCCCATCAGGCTAACGTGACAGTCACGACTCCTGCAGCTGTAAGGTTTTCTGCTTCTTATGTTTTTACTGGCGATCTTTACAACACGCATTACATTACGTATTTCATGGCACACTCGTTTTATGCGTATTTGGCTCCACCTATTGTTGTGGGTGTATTATTGACATGTCAAAGTCTAGAGCCTGAATATAAGATGGCTGCGTTTTTTCAGATGTATTTCCAAGAAATAAACATTGTCTTATATTCGGGTCAATACGGTATATGAAATGATATAACTAAATGATATAAATGATATGTAAATGAATTATATAACTAAAATTAAATAACTGTAATTACAGATTTAGGTTAAATAAAGATGTCAGTCTTTATTTTTCATCTTTTTAGGAAACAAATCAAAATTTTGCGGAAAAAAGTTCTTTTTTTCTTTTTTACCCAGTCATTTAAAAATAACACATTTTAGAGCTGTAACGACAATACTGTGATACCGTGATATTTTTGCTTACGGTTATCATACCGTCAAAATCTCATACCGGCTAGGCTTGCTGCGATAGACAATGTTTTCGGTTATACCGGTGTTAAGCCGCAACACCGGTTATGTCATTTACCTACATCCACCGCCCCCCACCGTCGTTTTGATTTTTTATAGTAACAAAAATCATTTAGCCTAGTTCAGTTAGAGGACAGATACTTTTAAAAATTAAATGCTCAATGCAGCGTGCCGAACGGTGCGTGAACGACAGTCAGATTTTATTTATCACGTGAGGAGAGTGAGTCGAGCTGACTGACAAGAGTGAGGTGAGAAAGACAAGATGATGGCAGAAGATTGTTTAGAAAGGAAATGCAAAGGCGCCCGTTTGGCAATTAGCCTAGTTCAGTTAGAGGACAGATACTTTTAAAAACTAAATGCTCAATGCAGCGTGCCGAACCGTGCGTGAACGACAGTCAGATTTTATTTATCACGTGAGGAGAGTGAGTCGAGCTGACTGACAAGAGTGAGGTGAGAAAGACAAGATGATGGCAGAAGATTGTTTAGAAAGGAAATGCAAAGGCGCCCGTTTGGCAATATTTTAGATTTTGAAAAGCCTATTGACTGGAAGTTTTTTTTTAAACATTTGTTTCTTATTTATTTGGTTCCATGGTGTTTGCTGATTACTTTAATTATACTTTGTGTATTTTATTTATTTTATTTTACGTCAAGGTGTTGTATATGCTGTGCCTCCAAGCTTTCTTATTCGTTTTGCTAATAAACATTCTATGTTTCTTATTTATTTGGTTCCACAGTGTTTGCTGATTTTCAGTTTTATATACCTATTTAAACTTTGTGTAGCGCAAGTAATTTGTTATTTTATTAGACATATATGGTGTATTTTTATTCGTTTTGTTAATAAAAGTTATATGAGTTTGACGTTGTTGCTTGAATTGAATCAACGCCAAATTGCCGCTAATTTGAAAGTGAAAGTAAAATGCACACTGCGCTTTTTCAAGCTATTTGAAAGCCAAGAAATCCGAGGAAAAGAGGGAAAACTCAAACGAACAATTGCTTGGCGCCGAATTGCGGCAGTTCAATTGCTGCTAATTTGAAAGTGAAAGTAAAATGCGCACGGCACTTTTACAAGCCATGTGAAAGCGAAGAAAAGAGGGAAACTCACACGAACGAACACAACCCCACCCCACCCCAACGGTGATACCGGTATTACCGGTGTTGTCACACGTCGATTAACTGGTGGGTAAATGCCTAGTAGCCAACCTGAGCTCAATTGAGCTGAGAAGTGTATCAGTGTCACCGTACACCCATGATGTCTGAGTTTACATTGTCGTTTTCAGCAGTGACACTGAGATGTGCAGCGAGTGACAGAAAAACAGTCACTGAACCATATCTCATCCCATTTGTGTGAGGCTGTGCTTTGTATAGTCATAGTCACAAGGGGAATTTTGAATAGAATGAAAGAGACTTGAGGGTTAATTGTCATTATTATGCTAATAATTTCGTAAATATGCAAGGGAACACTGCAAAAAAATGTCTTAATCAGTCATTTTGTCCAGTAAAAATATTTAAACATCTTTATAGCAAGATACCTTTTAGAGACATTTTTAATGAACAATTTTTATTAATCAAAATGGCACATTTTTAATTAACAACACATGATTTTAGAGAAACTATCTTGAGTTAAGGATTTTTTTTTTTTACTCTGCTGGCAAGTTGAGTGTAGATCTGAACAAATTTTATTGTAAACAGGCTTTTTTTTTAAAGAGATTTTGAATGTTTTACTAGAAAACAAGACACACATTCTGGTTAAGTCTTTAGTGTGTCTGTATATGTTGGAATGTCTTGTGTGTATGGCATGTGTGTGACACAGGAAAAGTGTTTGTTTAGAAGGAGGGAATGAGGCCGAGGTTGATGAAACGGTAATCTGCTCACAGATGTGAAGGGACAAGCGTGCTTTTAATTGTATTCCTCACAGCTGTCCAGCGCTCTCTGTGTTTATGTATGCACAGTGAACACTATTCCAATGGCTCTCATGCATTTATTCATTCAGAGGAGTTTATCGCCATTCTTGAGAAACGATTCAAGTCTTGTGCCTGCAAGAATTTTTTACCAACCACCGTGATTGCTCTTCGCCAATTAAAACTGCTGTGCGAACAATGAAAAAGGAATCAGGCTGATTTGAATCGGCATGCTCATGCTGACTCAGAATTATAGGTTTAATTAAAGCTGCTTTTGAATGCTACGAGGAGCTATTAGTGCCTTGTTATATTCAATAAAGTGATTCCTGTTTGTGTGTGTGTGTGTGTGTGTGTGTGTGTGTGTGTGTGTGTGTACATATTTCAGCATGGAACCCCTCCGCTCCTGATTGCTGCGGGCTGTGGAAACGTCCAGATCATTGATGTGCTAATGAAAAAAGGAGCGGAGATTCAAGCCTTTGATAAGGTGTTGTACTCCATTCTCTCAGATAATTAATGTACTATTCTAAAGTTTGTGGTTGGTATGATTTTTGTTTTATGTCTTATGCTCACCAAGACAAAATGTATTAGATCAAAATACAAAAAACTGTAATATTGTGAAATAATATTTCAATTTAAATATTGAAAGGATATAATATATAATATAGTATATAATATATTAATATATTATAATAAATATTGCAATTTAGTATTTTCTATTTTAATGTTTTAAAATGTAATTTATTCTTGTGGTGGCAAAGCTGAATTTTCAGCAGCAGTTACTGACCTTCATACTATTGATTATTTTAATATGTCTTTTTTGAATAAAAGTGATTATTTCATTCAAAAAATTGTATCAACACCAAACTTAGAGGAAGACACTGAATACGTTTCACCAGTAGTTTTAACAGGGTTTAAATGGTAAAGTTGTACATGATAGACACCAAAACGGCTGAATATGCATACAACTCCACACAACATGCCATTCTTTTCCTCAGACTGGTGCCAACGCTATCTACTACGCCGCCCGACATGGTCATGTGGGGACATTGAGATTCTTGCATGAAAAGAAGTGCCCTCTGAACATCCAAGATAAGGTGCCTCCATCTTTCTCCATCTCTCTCACTCTCTCTCTCTCTCTCACTCACACACACACACACACACACACACACTCAACAATCACAACCACAGGGAGAGGACAGATTCGATTTTTCAAAGGCTTTCCCCATCCGGCACCTTTTCTCCAGAAAACCTTTCCTACTGAGTTCACACGCCTCTCTACTTCCCATTGGTAATTTGCAGTTGCTATGGTTACTCGCTGGCCTGAGGTTTGCCGTTGTATGAAATAATTGTTGACTGCCTCACTAGTCAGTGAAGTGCGCTCAGTCAAGCGAATTCGTGGGGTAAAGGGTTGTTGAGTTTGTCAGGAGTGCCATACAGAATCACAGTTGGTGTGTCCGCAGCTTCATCATTACGGGTGTAAAGCGAGTTCTTTAAACATCCACCCCAGCCTGAACTGTTTCCAGGAGGAAGTCCAGCGCAAAGTTGATTTGGGAAGGGTTTTAGCAGTTCTCAGCACACAAAGATCTCTCCATTGAACAGGTCACATTCTGTTTACGCAGCCTTTCCAGTTGCTATAACCCTACTTTGACAGCAGGGAAATCCTTTAATGAAGTTCTTAGCTGTTTCTTGTTCAGCAGTTTTGATAGTTTCCCTGATGTACACACACACACATGTTTGTTGCATTTTTTTGTTTAGATCATCAACGTGATGTAATGTAATCACATTAATAAAATGCCTGCTCATCACTGAATTATGGGCAGACGTCAGCATGTAATTCATAATGTGAGTAATGTTTGACATTCCGTTTTAGTCTGGAGAAACGGCTCTGCATGTGGCAGCTCGCTATGGTAATGTGGATGTAGTCCAATACCTTTGCAGCATCCATGCCAACCCTGACCTAGTGGACCGGGTAGGTATCAAACACAGACACACACACACACAAACTGATCTACACCACACTGAACAGTTCAAGCCTCTGTGGACTAATATATGACACATGGCAAAAGTTCAGTTACCATTGTGCAAATGCAATATTAACAGTAATTTAATTTAATAGATGACCGATTAAAGGCAGGGTAGGTGATTTATAAAAAAAAAAAAAACATTTTAAATAATTTTGTGTTACGCTGCTTGAAAGACTTTTCACATCCTGATAGCAATCAGCAACTTAAGTGGTCTAAATGAATTTATATTGTCTGTGGAAGGCATAGAACCATTAAAAGTTCATCCAATCATATTCCTTGGTTCAAAGGATTATGATTACCATAGGCTGTCCTACCTGACTCTCATTGCATATATTTGCATATCTCCGCACACCCTGTCCATGCAGACATGATACTTCATCACCCTACATTTAAAGGGCAGATACAGATATAAAAAGAGTAGTGTTGGGTTGGTCATGTGACCTTAGTTTTTTCATCAGTCATGAGATGTCTGCTCCCATGAGGCATGTAAATAAAGCTACTCTTATTAGCCTTCTGATATGACTGGAGTCTTCATTACTACATTTTCGTGTCAATCCATGTTCATATTTACTGCAAAAAATGTTTTGTTACTTTAATTCAGCTCTTGCAGCTCAGCAAAAATAGACTCGGTGTGGAAACATTCTCTGCACTGCTGCAGACGCACCGCTCCTAAACGCACTGCCGGACCGCAACCGTGTGCAGTGTGCACGCTTTATTAATCTGTTAACCTTGAGCGCGGAAAAATACGCACCACATTCGCACTGCAAACGGAGTAATGTGAACCAGGCATTATGTGTGTGCGCTGCAAGTGTGCATGAGCGTACGCCCGGTCTTCTGGCAAGAATTAAAAAGTAATGCAATTTATAAACTTTAGTGACGATGTGACACTGCCTCGATTGTGCAAGTGACAATTCATGTGTCAACTGTGCAGTGTGCAGCTGGCTTATGGACAGACGCGATGTGTGGTGATTTGAAGACATTTGTGTATTTTGAGAGAGAGCGCGTGCGGTGATTCACTCACGTTGTTTGTGAAATTACGTCTCACACAAGGTTTTCAAGTTACTTTATAAGTTATTTAATTAAGACATATGAAGGTGAGTACCTCACCGTCAGCATTATAATTATTTCACCCGCGCTGGACAGAGACTGAGATGGTGCCGCTGCATGTCGTGCCAAACCTCTGACGGCAGCATCATCAGCTTGAGCCTTTTTTAGAGACCGCCGATCAATCAGCCCAAAGCGATTATCGGCCGATAGTGATCAGTAGCCGATCAATCGGAGCACCCCTAGTAGTAATATCAAAAGTAAATTCAGCCTCGGTGAATATAAGAGACTTCTTTTAGAAAATCTCACCAACCCCAACAGTTGAATGCTAATGTATTTATATTAGTAACGTTCAACTTGAAAAAAGAAAATGTTCTTTTATAAAAGAAAATGCTTAATCTCAGATGTCTTTGATGACAGTGGGAAATGTAAATGTAATAAATGGTTTCGCAAGTGCTTTATTAACACTTATTTTGTGTATTTGGTGTAACAGAATATGTTGACATGCTTTAATGTTCAAAAAACACATTATTTTTCAAATACTGCACATTATTGTAGTTCCTCTATCCCCCGCCTCTCTCAAACGCATAATTTTCTACAAAACCCCTCCTTCCGACAAGCACAGTCTGCTCTGATTGGCCAGCTGACCCAGTGCATTGTGATTGGCCGAACACCACAAGCACGCGTCGGACATGTAATGCCCCTTTCCATAATCGCGAGCTTCAGCTTTCAACATAAATGTAGAGACAGCACATAATGTCCTTAGTTTTACCAGAGGCGGACAGTAGCTAAGTACATTTACTTGAGTATTGTACTTAAGTACACTTTTTGAGTATCTGTACTTTACTTGAGTATTATTTTTTCTGGGAACTTATGACTTTAACTTCACTACATTTGAAAGACAAATATTGTACTTTTCACTCCACTACATTTCTATCAAGGTCCTCGAAGTAGAAAGTCGTTACTCTGTAGCAGCTTTGAAAATCAGTGGGTGATTTTTTTCTTCTCTAAAACGTGACTCTCTTTTTTTTCAGACAGTTTATCAGTAATCACTCTTGGGGCTAAATGAAGTGATTTCCCAGCATTTTTTGAACACTGCCCAGTTGCAAACGTGATATTTATTTACAACAATTCAATAATAAGAAGTTAATATTGTGGTATATATTAGACATAAAAAAAGGAAATTTACTTTTGGTACTTAAGTACTTCTAAAAGCAAGTACTTCTGTACTTTTACTTAAGTAAAAATCTGTCTTTACAACTTTTACTTGTAATAGAGTAATATTTGACCAGCAGTATCTATACTTTCACTCAAGTAATAGAGTCGAGTACTTTGTCCGCCTCTGAGTTTTACCATCGGTTCAAGCCCGAAAGGGGACAGAGTCGCGTGACAGACACGGTGATGATGCTCGTATGTATTTGCAGTACACAAGCCGCGATTAAGAAAGCTGACTCCACTGTGATGTGACCCTGTCTCTCTCTCTCACGCACGGCGCAAAACTCCGCATTTGAACGGTCAATAACAAATACTTAACCTTTTAAGAAAACATACTTTAGCTGATTCAGAATAAGCGCCAGATTGTCATAGCAAAGTCGGAATGGACCCCTTTTTTTTTTTTTTTTTTTAAATAGCCTTTTCACAGCCAGCCTGGAAGGCTACTCTCCTAGGTTCACAAAATTGTCGTCCATATAATGCGTTGCACAAATTCAAACATTTGGGGTGTGCTGTTCTGTTGTAAATAAATCTTAACCAGTGTTTCCTCATTACATCTACTTTCGGAAGGCCAAATAAAGTGCTTTTACTTTCGCACAGAGACACACAGCGTCTCCCTGACATGGCTGCATCAACACTACTGCGGTTCCTGAAACCACGCCACCTTTCTTTGCATGAACATTTGGGCGGCATTGCGCAAATATTTCCACATCGTGACGTAGACATGTGGGGGCGTGTTTGAATGAGGCGTTTTAGCTCGGTCTGGGTCGGCATTGTCTTTTAGATAGAATAAATCCTTTTGTGGGAGACTTTGAGCTTTGTAGCTCTGCAGATCTTATACATGCACAAATAGCTACATAACACACTAAAGAAAAGGAAAAATAGAAATCGCATCATATGACCCCTTTAAATTAATGAGCCTGAAGCACCACTCCAGAGAAATGCAATAAAGAAAATCATTTTAGGATAATGTGTGTGTGTTAAATTATTACAACAGCGATCAATATTGTGCACAACCAAATTATTATTTAATAGTATTACAGATTCATTTTATAGTGGTTACTTTTGCAATGATCACAATATTAGGTTACCATCCTACTTTTGCATTTATTTTAATATCTTGCTCTGAAAGCAAATATTGCAAAAGAAAACCAATATTCACATGCCATCCCAGGAGGCAGACACAGCCACGGATTGTATGTTTCAAATTGTTACATTCATTGGAGGTGTCAGGGTCACAGGCCAATTAATTAAGAGCAATTCGTCACATGAAACGGCCTTGACACAGACTAATGTTGTTTTGTTAGCTCCGTGTGTTCAAGGTTATTTATGAATGCCAAAGACTGTTTTCATGCCTCCACAGGAGCAGGAGACACCTCTCCACTGTGCAGCCTGGCATGGTTACTCGGCGGTGGCCAGAGCCTTGTGCGAGGCTGGCTGTGATGTGAACGCCCGGAATCGGGAGGGCGAGAGCCCGTTACTCACCGCTTCTGCCCGTGGCTTCAAGGACATCGTGGAGTGTCTGCTGGAGCATGGGGCGGACTTGGACTCTGCTGATAAGGTGAGGACAGACACTTATAAAATATTAACCATTAACAACTGAAGTGGTAGGGTGTTTTATTGTTCTTTAACGGTGGACTGTGTCATTTTTTTATATTAAAACACCTTCTGTTTCTTCTGATGCATGCTGTTTTTGTTGTATACATTGATAGCTTGCCATTCAAAATAATTATTGATTACCCTTCACCCTTGATCATGGTGTGCTTGCATCTATATATTTCAGGACGGTCACATTGCTCTACATTTGGCAGTGAGGAGATGTCAGATTGAAGTGGTGAAGTGTCTGCTCAGCCATCACTGTTATGTGGACCACCAGGACCGCCACGGCAACACACCCCTTCACATCGCCTGCAAGGACGGCAACTTGCCTGTGGTCATGCAGATCTGTGCAGCTAAAGCCAATCTGGATATTCCTAACAAAGTGAGTTTCAAACAGGATGGGTATAACCTTGCTGTATAATATGCTTTTGTTTGACCTCTAAATGTGTGTTTTCATCCAGTGCTATTTTAGTATTATTTATGTATTATATTTTTATTCATATTTTGTATTTTTTTCCCCCATTTTAATTTTTATTTAAAAAATTAATGTAAATGTAATTGCGTCATATGCTTTTGGCATTTTTATTAGTATTTTGTTTTAAAATAATGCTTTTTAGGATTATATTTATTTATATTTCAATTTTCATTTTTATTTATTTCCAGTCAGTAATTTTAGTGCTTCAACTCAAACATATTTCAGTTATTTTAGTTTATAGTTTTTTATCTCATATGTATATTTTATTTTATTTCAATAAACACGTTTTAATAGTTTGTTAATGGGAATAACCCTGATGTTATCCTATATACCAGTTTGTTTTTATTAATTTTGTTATAGAACCCCCATGAACCCCCATGATACCATTACAGAATACAATTTTGCCACCCCAACATTTATCATAAAAACAACACTAAATGAGCACTTAAAGTACCTATTAAATAATAGTATTAAAGAAATAAATGAATACAAATGTTTATATATACAGGTTGAATGGCGTATGATAAAATACCCTTAATAAAAAAATTATAAGATATAAAATAAAAAATTATTTCACGTCTAATTTCAAATTACAGTCATCACAACTTTATCTACCTATTAACAAATTGAACTTTTTTTTTTTTTTAAACCCTCTGCTTTACCTGTAGTTACATATGTTAATTTTTCAAGGGCAAGGTTATAAGTCATCTCTTTGGTCGACTGCGAAAGGAAAGGTCTTTGAATGTTTTTCCATACTAAAGCGATTACATGTTTGGCTTGTAACAAACTAAAATTTTTAAGCTTCCACATGTTTGCATTTAAAGAAAACTTTCAGGATTTATATGCAATAAACACAGTTTAGGTTCCAAAGGGATTTTTTTCTCCAGTCATTTCAGAAACCATTATATATCAGTTATTACCTTTGTCTTATTCAAGTATTAATGAGTGCGCTTTTTCTTGTCAGTCTCTAATCATCATCCACTCTTTTTTCAGTTCTTAAAGTCCCCTCAACTGACCCCAATTACTTGGTTGCAATTTTCCTGAATTTTTTACATACCAGTTATGCATGCTTGTTAATTCTGTGTGAAATTTTTAAATGGCACTTCCATTACAGCTGGAAGACGATTTTAGTTCCTTCTAACTGAGGGCTTTACAGGTCAAGAGGAACTGAATTATATTAATATGAAATTGAATCATAAGCATTCTGCAATGTTATACACTTGAAAAAATTTCTGACAAAGGAATTTCTTCACCTTTTGTTTTCTAGTTAGCATTTGTGATGAATAATTCTCAGAAGGAGTGTTAATAGATGTTTGCTGTCTATTTGTGTGTAGTTTGGGAGAACAGCTCTTCACCTGGCAGCTAGTAACGGTGGTCTGGAGGTGGTGCGTCATCTCTGTGTTACAGGAGCCAACACTGAAGCCATCACTAATGTAAGTTCAAGACCGTCAGGGTTTTGATATGAATAAATAATATACAGTATAACAGTATTATACATTTATTTATAAAAAATATATATATACACATTTATATAAAGTACCATTCAAAACAGGGCCAGTAAGATTTTTTTTTTTAAAGAAATGTTTTTTTTTTCAGCAAAGATACATTAAATTGATCAAAAGTGACAGTTACCACATTTGTTACAAAGATTTATGTTTCAAATAAATGCTGCTCTTTTGAACTTTCTATTAATCAACGAACCCTAAAAAAAGTATAATTTTTCCTCAAAACTATTAAGCAGCACAACTGTTTTCAACATTGATAATAATAAGAAATTATTATTGAGCAGTAAATTGGCATATTAGAATGATTTCTGAAGGATCATGTGACACTAAAGACTGGCTGAAATAATTTTTTCACAATATTAATGTTTTTACTGTATTTTGATCAAACAAACGTAGCCTTGGTGAGCATAAGAGCCTTCTTTCAAAAAATGTAAAACCCCAAACATTACAAGTTTCTCTATATAAGGGTCACTCATTATAAATATTTATATATATATATACTGGTACTTCTGAATGGGTTGAGGCTGGGATTTAGCGCATTTGAAGTGAAAGTACTTGATGAAAATATACTATATGTGGAGAGCATAACATTCGTTATCTCAATTTTGCCCAAGATGGCTTTTAGAGGCTTTTGCATTGGAACTCTTCATATATATATATATATATATATATATATATTAGAATATCATATAATATTTTTATATATATAAAATAGTAACATATGTTTCACATGCTTTCAAAAGCTTTTTGTTGTTTAGTTTGGCTGCTGTCTTCTTTTAGTGTTAGATATTGAGGTGTAACACTGAGCCGGTGTCCTGCCCTCTTAGCACATTAATCAAATTGCAGTCTCTTTATCTCTTTAAATAAGTGTTCATTTATCATTCACGACAGCCTAGATTACCATTCTGTCCTTAATCTTTCACTCAGCTGTCTTGCCTCATATAGTGCCTCTCCCATAGAACGTGTGTTGGTTCCTGTAGGTTTGTATGATCTTATGTGATTGTGCGGGTGATTCTCCTTTGAATGACTGATTTTTAATCTGACTCATTCTGAGCCTTAATATGTGTTTGTTAGGATATAGCTGTCTGATATTTGTGCATTTCTTTTGTCTGTAATATAAGGATGTACCTTCCACAAGAAGTTATTAGCCTAGTGCATTAAAATGTTCTTTGCCAGAGTGAAGGTTTTCAATGAAAATGTGCCAGTGGAGAATCATTGTTTCAATTTCAGCAGCGGTGAAGCACAGCATGCCCCAATGAACTCCCAACCTACTCATCCTAAACAATGTATGTTTTCAATCAATAACCCCAACATGCCTCCCCTCGGCCGGCCCTCGCTCACACCCCTTGCCTCAACACCATCTCAAAGTGCTCCTCCTCGGTGTTAATATTGTATAGTGGCTGATGCACAATGCATGTTACAGCACACGGGAATTTTGAGAATCCATAATTCATTGCCAGAGGCTTATGGGTCGGCGGCTTGAGAAAAAAAAAATGGCTTCCACATATAGGACGCCATTGATTAATGTGGCCTTCACACTTTATATTTTACTCCTTTTCTCACTGTTTTGTCAGGATGTACGTTACCATTCAAATGTGTGAGGTTGGTAAGATTATTTAACTATATCACTACATTAATTTACTACATTGCATGAGCTAACAATGAAAAATACTTCTGTATGTTAATGTTAATTTCAACATTTATTAAATGTTGCATTATTAAAATCAAATTTTCTGTTATTTATGGGGCCCAGGCTAACTAACAATGTACAGTTTGTATTTTATTAACAGACATTTACAAGATTAATAAATACTGTAACAAATGTATTGCTCATTGTTAATGTTAGCTAATGCATTAACTAAAGTTAAGTCATGGGACTTTATTGTAAAATGTAAGCAATTTTTAGAATTTAGGTCTCGAAAAAAAAATGGCTTCCACATATAGGACGCCATTGATTAATGTGGCCTTCACACTTTATATTTTACTCCTTTTCTCACTGTTTTGTCAGGCTGTACGTTACCATTCAAATGTGTGAGGTTGGTAAGATTATTTAACTATATCACTACATTAATTTACTACATTGCATGAGCTAACAATGAAAAATACTTCTGTATGTTAATGTTAATTTCAACATTTATTAAATGTTGCATTATTAAAATCAAATTTTCTGTTATTTATGGGGCCCAGGCTAACTAACAATGTACAGTTTGTATTTTATTAACAGACATTTACAAGATTAATAAATACTGTAACAAATGTATTGCTCATTGTTAATGTTAGCTAATGCATTAACTAAAGTTAAGTCATGGGACTTTATTGTAAAATGTAAGCAATTTTTAGAATTTAGGTCTCATATGCTTACCAAGGCTGCATTTATGTGATCAGAAATACAGTAAAAATAGCAATATTTCTATTTTTATGCTATTTTAATATATTTTAAAACGTAATTTATTCCTGTTATGGCAAAGCTACTTTTTCATCAGCCATTTTTCCAGTCACATGATTTTTCAGAAATCATTCTAGTATGCTGGTTTTCTGCTCAAGAAACATTTATTTTATTATTATTATCAATGGTGAAAACTTGTCATACATTTTTTAAAAGATTATTTGATGAATAAAAAGTTCAAAAGAGCAGCATTTTGAAATATAAATCTTTTGTACTTTATAAGTGTCTTTGCTGTTCCTTTTAATCAATGTAATGTATTCCTGCTGAATAAAAGTATTAATTTATTACAACAACAAAAAACTGACTTAAACGGTGGCCTTATAAACAGTAGTGTATGTAGGTTTCAGTCTATGATTTTCATCTGTTTTATGATAAAATGGGAAAAACATTTAGGAACCAGAATAGTAGAGACTTGGGAGTGGCCTTTTTTGACTTGAGCCAGTAACCAATCACATTGCCACTTTATCAACTCTGTAGACTCGTGCCACAAACCCATGCACAACACCCAAGCATGATGGTTCACTGTCTACTATGTCATCTCTTCATCTATTTTTCATTTCTCCCTTTCCAATACGCTAATGATAAGCCGCAGTCTCAATGTGTCAAGCAACCACTAGATTTGGTTCCCTCACATAAGGATGCTCCATTCATCCTTGAGATTTTTAGGCATCTTTTGGGAGACAACCATAAATCAATAAAATGAATTCAAGCACATCCTCATGGGGACACATAGCTGGGCTGGAGACGAGCAGACAGACACAAAAAGAGTCTGTGAATCAGAAAATGGGCTGTTTTGTGCAGAAGGTTGTACAGTCATATCTCATGAAGTGTTTGTGTTTAATCAAGCCACGTTAGATAAGAGTAATTACGGTGCAGCAAAGCTTTCCCATTACTATCCTTTTCATCGGTGCTTTAACACCTCTGCTCCGTTCACCACATCCTCTTTCGCTGTCGTCTGCGTGGGCTCTCTTTCAGAGGGAGGCTGGTTAATTTGTCCCCGTCGGTTTGAGGAGGAACACAGCTGTTTCTGGTTGTGTGGTTTGCTTGTGCTTGTGGCCCCAGGTGTTAGGTATGGGTTTGTGTTGCTGTGTGTGAGATTGTGTACATGTATTCTGAGGTGTTAAATCATTAATGGTTTTGGTCGAGGGCTGTGACTGTGGTGAGTTTTAGGTAAACAGATTTTTTTCAGATAACCATGACTGCCCTGAGGTTTGTGTACAGTTTCAAGGTTTTTCTAATGCTCTCTTTGAGTTTTTACAGCATTTTTACATATGACGTTTCTGTGGAATATACTTCCTTCAGGCAGGCCCTCTCTGATAGTCATTCCCCCTCCGCAGCTGGTGTCTCCTAATGCTGATTTCACAATCACACATGTGCTGCTGTCACATCCTCCTGGGACGTTCCTATGTGCGCCATTTTGGTTGTAATAAAATGAACACAGATTTGTATTTCTTTTTTCACTTCCAGACAAAGACAAAACGCTTTTATAGAGCTTGTGAAACAAGACAGCTTAGGAGGTGCATTAGTTGTGTAATTGATGCTTTCATTATTTATTTTATCATTCCGGTGCTACCAAGTAAAACTATGAGAAATGTAGATTGGTTGGCTCTCATTAACTGCCTTAAATGAGTACCATTTTCCAGGGGGGTTGCTAGATATAAATGCCATCTGGGGTTTAGCCCATTAGTGCTATATTATGAAGGCAAAGCTTCCAGGTTTCAATTTATTAGGATTTTTAATTTGATGACTAATACTGAGAATATATATATATATATATATATGTGTGTGTGTGTGTGTGTGTGTGTGTGTGTTTATGCTACATTGTGGGGACGAAATGTCCCCACTAGGATAGTAAAACCTGAAATTTTTGACATTAGGAAAGGGAAAAAAAATAGTAAATGATGTTTATCTGAAAGTATAACAATGCAAACAGGTTTTCTGTAAGGGGTAGTTTTAGGGTTAGGGGATAGAAAATATTGTTTGGTCAGTATAAAAGTAATGGAAGTCTATGGAAAGTCCCCACAATTCACAGAAACAAACATGAGTGTGTGTGTGTGTGTGTGTATACAGTGGGGCAAATAAGTATTTGATACACTGCCGATTTTTCGCTGGGCAAGTTAACATGTTATTATTGCGTTAACGCATTAATTGATTAGCGCCGACAATTATTTTATCGTGCGTTAACGCAGTTTTTTTATTATTATGAAAGTCCGTTGCTCACTGGCTCTGAATACACATACAGACAAACTATGGGTCACGGGAGGGGTGGGATGTTGATCAGTACTGGCTTGGGATGGGCGTCATCACGCGT